ATGGGTCATGAGCCAGACATATCCCATCTAAAGACTTTCGGGTGTGCCATATATGTACCGATTGCTCCACCACATAGAACAAAGATGGGACCTCAAAGGAGGATGGGAATATATGTTGGATTTGATTCTCCCACTATTATTAAGTATCTAGAGCCAACTACGGGTGATCTATATAAGGCTAGATACGCGGATTGTCATTTTAATGAATCCGAGTTTCCTACTTTAGGTGGAGAGATGAACAAGCTGGGTAAAGCAATAAAAGAAATATAATGGAATCAAACATCCTTATATTGGCAAGATCCTCGGACTCTGGCATGAGAATCAGAGGTCCATAAGATTATACATTTGAAAAGCTAGCTAATCAATTGCCAGATTCCTTTGCTGACCCAAAGAAAGTTACAAAAACGTACATACCAGCTTGTAATGCACCAGTACGTATTGATATCCAAAAGGGAATCAATGAAATTGCTACCGAGTCTAACACACGAAAGAAACGTGGTAGACCAATAGGTTCCAAAGATAAAAATCCTCGAAAATCAAAGAAAGGTGCAGTAGGAAACGAGGTTAAGGAAACCATAGACATGGCCGCGGCAGACCCTAAGGAACCGAATAGAGAGATTTGGGACGCCAATCCTCATGGTCCTGAAGGGATAGATAATAATGAGATCTCAATAAATTATATCATGTCTGGAATAAAATGGAACCGCAAAGATGTCGACATCGATGAAATATTTGCATATAAGGTAGCACTTGAAATGAATGAGGATCATGAACCCACGTCTATATTAGAGTGCACTCAAAGATCAGATTGGCTAAAATGGAAAGAAGCCATAAACGTGGAGTTAAGTTCAGGGATAAAACCAGTAGGACACAAGTGGGTCTTTGTGAGAAAGAGAAATGAGAATAATAAAGCGTGAGATATAAGGCACGGCTTATAGCACAAGGATTCTCACAAAGACCGGGGATAGATTATGAAGAAACATACTCCCCTGTGGTGGATGCTAAGACATTTAAATTTTGCTAAGTCTGGCTATATAAAGAAAAAGACTTGATTTGCGGCTAATGGATGTAATGCCTGCATATTTATATAAGTCCACTGGATGATATATATGAGATTACCAGAGGGTATTGAGCTCAAAGATAAAGATAAGAAAGGGTCTCGAGACCAATACTGCATAAGGCTGAACAAATCGCTTTATGGACTGAAACAAAGTGGACGCATGTGGTACAATAGATTAAGCGAGTACCTAGTCAGAGAAGGTTATAAGAATGATCCCATCAGTCCATGTATCTTCATAAAGAAATTTGCAAACAAAGGGTTTGTGATAATAGCAGTATATGTGGATGATTTAAACATCCTTGAAACCTCTGGGGAAATCGCCCAAACAGTCAAATATCTAAAGAAAGAATTCGAGATAAAAGACCTAGGCAAGACAAAATTCTGTTTGGGATTGCAACTTGAGTACGTGAATAATGGAATCCTTGTGCATCAAAAGGCATATACTGAAAAAGTACTCAAGAGATTCAATATGGACCAGGCCCACCCATTGAACAGCCCAATGGTGGTGAGAAGCCTCAGATTGGATAGTGATCCATTCGGTCCAAAGAAGGACGAGGAAGAAGTTCTCGGTCCTGAAGTGCCATACCTCAGTGCCATAGGAGCGTTAATGTACTTGGCTAGCCATACTAGACCAGACATATGTTTTGCCGTGAACCTCCTTTGTCTAAATTTAGTTCATGATCAACCCAAATGCACTAGAAAGGTTTGAAGGAAGGTTTGGTTAAATTTTAAATTCTATTCTTCATATGTTTGTTTATTTGGGTTTTATTCTATACTGATCTAACCAAAGAAGGTCTAGTTTGCTTTGGTTTAGTTTGTTTTGCTGATGCAGGTAAAATCAGATTATGGCATGGTCAATAAGTAGGAACTACGTGTGGCTTGATCCCTTCTAAGGGTACGTAGGCAGCCTTCTTCAAGGCGCAGCTACTACAACATCAAAGACCATCATATGAGGAGACAACACAGCCTGCATCGCTCAGCTCAAGGACAGCTACATCAAGGGAGATCGGACGAAGCACATTCTAACAAAGTTCTTCTTCACGCATGACTTGCAAAGGGATGGAGAAGTTCGAGTGGTACAAGTTCGGTCCAGCGACAACTCAGCCGACCTCTTCACCAAGGCATTACCAACATCAACATTGAGGAAGCTCACGCATCAAATTGGAATGCGGAGACTTAAGGACTTGCAGGGATGACCAAAACAGGGGGAGTAATACGTGCTGTACTCTTTTTCCTTAACCATGATTTTGTCCCAATGGGTTTTCCTGGTAAGGTTTTAATGAGGCAACATCCCCAAGCGTATTACTGAGATCCTTTGGCATCTACACGGTTATGTCATCCAAGGGGGAGTGTTATAAATCACATATTGGATGGACTCCATAACCGTGGGCCTAATCCATATCCTAGAAGGCCCATGTCCAAGTTTCTTGAAGATTCTCCTTATGACGACCTATTTTATACTTAGTGGGCTTTTGGGCTTTAGGGTTTACTAGCCCAATGGGGATTTGTCTCCCAATGTAATGTATATATATATATCGAAACCTCATTCATTAATCAATAAGAACAACAAGTTTTATAACACTTACAACCGCATCTTCCATCTTTTTATACTGTTAAACCAATTGTTTAAAACGATAAATAACACTTAAAATCACGACCGTCTGTTTTGATAAACAATCGTCGTATCATCCACTGCATTCCCTTAGTGATGGCTGATTTAGTAGATTTAAATTGGCATTAGTGTTTAACCCTAAGTGGATTTAAGTTCTAAAGTCGAAGCTTTGCTCTCTCTTCTTCTCCCTTCCTCTGCGACGCGTTACTTCCTTCTGTCTCGCAATTCCCAAGAGGTAAAGCTCCTTCGATTCTCCTCTTAGACATTTTTGTTCAGCGATTGGTAAACCCTAAATGTTCCCTTTCCATTGTAGTCTTGTAGATACTTAAGCTAGATTTATGCGTGATCTAATCGTAATTAGTCGGGATCTAATTGTTGCGTTCGATTTGAATCGTTGTCACGTAGAAACCCTAATTTTGCTGCATCCTTGTGTTCTCGCAGAGCTTGAATGCTTCCAGAATCGGCTCTAATTTGAAGCAATTTTGAGTTTCGAGTCGAAGCTAATGAGTAACTGAGTGTGAAAAATCTTAGATTCCACCGACATCAGATCCTTTCTTCTCTGGTTTCATTTGATATGTCGACGAACGACGAGGAAAATGGAACGTTAATCGAGGTTAAGAATGTTCCAGAACCAAGCCCAGAGACTTGGTATAGTGTTTTTCTTCGTCAAGCTTCTGTCTATGGTGTAGCTGCAGGGTATTGTCTCTCAGCTTCTCTGCTCTCAATCATCAACAAATGGGCAATCATGAAGTTTCCTTACCCCGGTGCATTAACCGCTATGCAGTACTTTACAAGCGCAGCTGGTGTTTTCCTCTGTGCTCAGATGAAGCTAATCGAGCATGATTCGCTTAATCTCTTGACAATGTGGCGGTTTCTTCCCGCAGCTATGATATTCTACTTGTCTCTGTTTACTAACAGTGAGCTTCTCCTCCACGCCAATGTCGATACTTTCATCGTGTTTAGATCTGCTGTTCCTATTTTTGTTGCGATTGGGGAAACGCTCTACTTGCACCAACCATGGCCATCTGTTAAAACGTGGGGATCTTTGGCTACTATATTTGGGGGAAGTTTGCTTTACGTTTTCACGGATTACCAGTTTACAATCGCAGCGTATAGCTGGGCTCTTGCGTATCTGGTGAGTATGACTATAGACTTTGTTTACATCAAGCATGTGGTTATGACCATTGGCTTGAACACATGGGGTCTTGTTCTCTACAATAACCTTGAGGCGCTGCTTTTGTTTCCACTTGAGCTGCTTATAATGGGAGAGTTAAAGAAGATAAAGCATGAAATCACTGATGAGACTGATTGGTACTCGTTGCAAGTGGTTTTACCTGTGGGTTTATCGTGTCTTTTCGGCTTGGCTATCTCTTTCTTCGGGTTCTCATGTCGCAGGGCCATTTCTGCAACGGGTTTCACTGTTCTTGGGATTGTGAACAAGCTATTGACAGTTGTGATCAATTTGGTTGTGTGGGATAAGCATTCAACGTTTGTTGGAACCTTGGGGCTCTTGATTTGTATGTTTGGTGGAGTCATGTATCAGCAGTCTACCATGAAGAAACCGAATACAGCACAAGAAGCTAAACCGCAAGAGCAAGACGAGGAACAAGAGAAACTTCTAGAAATGCAGGAAAACAAGGAGAGTAACAGCATCAATATAAAGGAAAATCTGAAATCAGAAGAGAAACTATGATCATAGTGGTTGGAGATTGCAGTGGCTGGAGTTTCTTCGGTACTGATATGATTTAGTTTTCGAGTAAAGAACTACCTTGTACTTAGTGGTTATGCAATTCTTTTGTAACTAGAGGTAAGAGTACTGCGTTCTTGATCCAGTAGTTGAATAATATCGATTACTTGTTTACGTTTTGATGTGTTTGGATTTATTTCTTGTACCTGATTCAGATTTATATGCGAGTGAAGAATTCTTATGTGTCCTCTTTGTGTTGAGATCTGTTATAAGGTAAAATTTACGAAAGTTCAAAAAAATATTTGTGTTTGAGTCCATCTAACCTTGGTAAGTGCTGCTAAGTTAATTTATGAGAGCTCCTAAGGTAAGATGAGTTAAGCTCGATTTTGAGCCCAAAAAAGAAAATTATAAAATTTTCGTCAACAGCAGGGTTCGAACCTGCGCGGGCGAAGCCCAATAGATTTCAAGTCTATCTCCTTAACCACTCGGACATGTTGACAATTTGTTATGTCTTTGTAACATGTTTCTTATATTACCATCAATACTGTCCTTTCATGTTTGTTATATTACCATCAATACTGTCCTTTGTAGGTTAAGAAGAATGTAGTACTAAAAATATACGTTAGCAAATCTGATGTCAAAAAAAGTATATATTAGCAAATCTGATGGTTTAAACTTCATTGGACATAAAAGTCATAGGTATTGTACGGTCGAGATCACCCAAAATTTCTCTGTCAAATCAGATCCACAATCTCTCTCTCTGCAAATTCCTCAAGCTAAAAAGGAAACCATTTACATGGCTCAAAATATCAGGAGAAAACAGAGCCTGGCAACGCATATCAGTAGGTAAAGAACCTGAAGACAGACTTGATGAGGATAGATAGAGTAATGAGTTGTTGATGTGATCATTCGTTCAATAATGTTAAAATGCCTCATTGAATCGGCCAGTCTGTGAGTCACTGATCATGGCCCTGGAAATTGTTCACGAGCTTTCTCACACTGCTTGCATTTTCCAAGCATGACAATTAATTAGCTTTCATACAGATGCCCACCATACCTTTTCGCAGGATAGTTCATCAAAAGATACACCATTTACTCTACTAACTTATCCTAAGAACAAGTGGAACCAGGGAAGAAGCGATAAACTAGTTGAGTAGGAGATAACATATTACACACAAAGAAGCTATCAAGCTTATTGGCAGTGATTCTTTTACCAAGTTCACCCAGGGGGATTGTTCTGGTGCATATTTGTAGTCGGAATGTTTTGGAAACCCGTGTGGATTAAGTTTTGGAATACTCCTGGCATTGTGTTGTGAAATTGCCCTGCCAATACCGCCTGTGACTGTCTTGGAGCAGCCTGTAATAGAAAACGATCAGAACACTTAACCATATGAATTGTACAAGTCTACCAAATGTCAATGAGTGGGTTGCATTCGGGATGCAGATAGGAAAATCAAACATACCACATGCTGAAATCCTTCTTGGCTTCCCTCACCAACAGTTTCAGATTGAGCCACATGCTGCACAAATGAAGAAAGATCAATGAAACGTAACCAATCTTAAACAAAGTTACGCATCACATCATCAGGGTCTGACAGTTAAGCGGAAATAGTTGTTTGTCTTTTGGCCGTATGTATGGAATTATAGCCTATCGAGTACCCATAAAAGATTAATCGATGATTCTGATAGCATAGTAGAAAAAGCTAGAGGACCTTTGCCTTTTTAGATGTATTGCTTAGGCTACTTCTCTTCTCCCTTCTGGTTTCAGCTTGCCATGGAACATTGCCTGCATGTATGTTAGGTTCGGGTCCAATCTGATTCGATGTGGATCCATATTGATTTTCTTCCTGGACAGGATGTCCTGCTTGAATTGCAGCTTCTTCACACCTGGCGGGATGTTCGATGGCAGTAATCTTAACAGCACATTGCTTAAAAGCTTCTTTCATTGCAAACATGGCGATGTCATAACTTTCTTGGGAAAGAGATCCTTCTTCTCCCAATATAATGGCTCGGCGGCAAAGATCATTGAAACGGCGGATATTAGACTGCACAAGTTCAAGGTTTCCACTGATCTGATGTCTGTTTCTAGCTGCATTTGTCCATCTTTGCAACACATAGTTTATCGGAATGGTGAAAACACCCGACATTTGGAGGACAACAATTGCATGTCTACAGAGATATCCCTTGTACTCAAAGGAACGGCAAGAGCAGTAAATGTCAGACTTAAATTCATCCCAATCCACCAAATACTTCTGATTGTCGTCAAAGTCCTTAACACTGTAAGTTGTTCCTTCCTCACTCTCCTTGGTCAGGTGACAAGCAGCGGCACCCAGAACCTCAAGTTGGAATTTCCTGAATATTTCATGGGAGTATACAAGTAACATTTGCTTCTCAAAAGGTGATGGAGATTTCAACTCAGGTGCTTCATGCCAAGCATCAAAATCTGCTTTGGCTTCCTCTTCATACCTATCTTCTAGCATTAGCCCATATCCTTCTAAGAACTCTTTAAGCGAGGTTTCAGCGTGAACATACCTATCAAACAAAGAATTCACACTTTCTGAACGACAACGCGTTGATAACCCCGCAAATGTTATTCCCCTCATAAAGGTTGGTGCCCAGAACTTACGCTCCTCATACAAAGAACGCATCCACTGAACATCTCTAAGATGAAACTTGTCTATCAATTTCAACCACCTCCTATCAAATTCCTCCTCAGACCATGACCTGTAAATACATTTGAACAACTTTTTCATGAAAGTGTCTTGCCACATACTCCAATAATCCAGATTCCGAGGAAGCCGATCCAGCACATGCCACAAGCAATAACAATGGCGAGTTTCCGGTAAAACCGCAGCAATTGCAGCTTTAATAGCATTGTTTTGGTCAGTAAGCATAACTTTAGGCTTTTGACCACCCATTGCCACTAACCAAGATTGCATCAACCAAACATAAGTGTAAACTGTATCATCTGCAAGCAATCCACATCCAAGCAACACAGGTTGTACATGATGATTAACTCCAACAAAAAGAACTATTGGTACTTTATATTTACTCACGAAATAAGTTGTCTCAAAAGAAACCACATCACTGAAACTTTTATAATCTTCAATCCTTTTAGCATCAACCCAGAACACATTCCTCAGAAGATGATCCTCACTGAAATCAACCGCGTAAAAAAACTTGGGATTCTCTTCTTGCATACGCATAAGAAACTCAAGCAAAATCTCTGCATCACCAGTATCAAGAACAAGTCTCCTTCCTTTATCATGTTGATTCCTCATATAACCATCTATAAAATCAAGATCGTTATAAGCACTGAGATGCTTACAATCAGTCAACGGATTGTTCTTCTTCCTCCTTAGACGAGTATCGGTGGATTTCACAGGCTCTGTGTTTCTATGGCTCCGGAAATAATGAGCTTGCTCTGGTAAAAGCTCGTGATTATGCTCTTTGACGAAACTGTAAACGTACCATTTCCCATCTGGTCTTCGTTTTACATGCATACTTGCTTTGCATCCGATTTTAGGAGAAGCTCTAGGGTTTATCGCATCATCGGATTGTTGCTTGCTTCCATAGCGTATACAAGAGAATTTTGCATCGATGAATTCCTTTGAAGCTCTTGATCTTCGACTGCTCAATTTCGCAGTTCCGAAACCAACGGATTTGGCGTAGTCTTTGTAGAACAAATACGCATCTTCGTGAGTCTCGAACTCCATTTGAGAAGCTTGAATCCACACCAAAATTCGATACAGATCGGTGACTACAAGAAGCGAAATAGATTGAGTAACATAAATCACGAATCAGAGAAGTGATTCATCTTCACCAGAATATGGTTTTTGAAAGATCCGAAGGAACACAGAGAGTGAAACATTTGACGAGAAGTTGATAGAGAGACTTGTAATTGCAAATCTAATGCGTAGGTGAAATATTGGGCCAAATTGGGCCTATCTTTTCAATCAGGATATAGAGGGCCGTATTGGGCAATTTGGTTTGTTCTTTGACTTCTTTCCAACTTTTTTGGATAATGTATTTGACTATTGAGTTTTTTTTAATGGGAAAAAAAAAAGGAAAAAGGAAAAAGGTGAAGAGCCGTTAGGCTAAGTTTTAAAGATTTAAATCATCCGACGACCAAAAAAAAATCATCTATTAGCTTGAGATTGGATAAAAAATAAATCAATCAGATTGGATATAGTCTAGTAATAATGTATAAATTGTTTTATTTGGGGTAAAATCGTTTGGTTTTAATAGTAAGAAAAAAAACAATTACGAGGCGGTTGGTGGTCGGCGACATTGAAATAAAACATGGACCATTGGACCGTTGAGCGTGGTGGTAGTAATAAGTAATAACGAAGAAAATAAGCAAAAGAATTTTGAAAACGCACATGGTTACAAATATAGCCGTTGGGCTCCTGATTTCCTTTTTCCATTAGGTTGAGGTAGCATCCAACGGCTCAGATTTACTAGCCGTTGATTCTAAAAAGGGAAGAAAAAAAAGAACACATTTTTTTTGTGTGTTGCAGACATATATCCGCTCTTCACGTCTTCAAAATCTTTGATTGATCTCTCTACAGTCTCTTTTACCCTTTTTCCTTCAATTTTGTTTTCGTTGCGAGAGAAAGAAGATAAAGAGAGAGAGAGACTCTTGAAGATCATTGAAGAGAGCCAGAGATCGATTTCTGTTTGCTATTATGGGATTTTGCTTCTGACAGAGAGATAGAGAAAGACTAATACCTTGAAAGCGTCAAGGTAAAGAATTTAGTGTTGATGTCATCTGGGTTTAAGAGATTTACTACATATTGTTCTTGATCTTTAGATTCTCAAATCGGATTCAAGACCCAATTTTTAATTTGGATTTTGTTTTGACTTGAGACATGTTTCTTCTGTGATTGCAAGATACGGAAGATAATCATGGGTGGATCAGATGAGAACAGACACGGAGTCATTGGACCGATGAATCGACAACAAGGTAGATCACAATCAAAACAAGAATCCCCAATTGATCAAAAGTCAATCTTTCGTTTGTTTTACTAAAAAGATGATTTTGTCAATTTTATTGGAAAAGGGAGTTTACGTGGAGGAAAGGTAATTCCGACGAATGGACAGACAAGAAGAGCACTGAGTAATATAAACAAGAACATCATCGGAGCTCCTGTTTATCCTTGTGCTGTCAACAAAAGACCATTCACTGAGTAATTTTATTTTTTACCTTCTTCTTTAATTGATTCATTCTTTGATAAAAAGTTGTATACACTTATCTTAAAAACCAACTGTTTTCTCAGGAACAATGGGATATGTAACAAGAAGATTCCACCTGTTCCAGTGCATCGACCAGTTACAAGGTGAGTGATTTCAATTGATTTCTGCTTCAGTGTCACAATTGGACTATGAGTTTATTTAAGAGCTTTAATCATTGGCTCGGTTTCAGGAAATTTGCTGTTCAGTTAGCTGAGAACAATCCCCAAATCCACAAGGAGGTACCTTTATATTAACACTAATTGAATTTGGTAATTGAAAACATGACATGGTTTAGGTTGTCTAATCTCATGTTTTTTTCTTTGTGGTTAGGAAACCAAGAAATCAGACTTGATTTCGAACGAAGCATTAGATAGAATCATAACAGATGTGGAAGAAGGAGACTTTAATGAACCAATGTTTGTTCAACACACTGAAGCCATGCTTGAAGAGATTGACCGAATGGTAACAATCTTGACCTACTGGTGTTAAAGCCACTCTTTTTTTTTGTTACTCGGATGAAGAAACATGTTGTCTTTTATCTCCAGGAGGGGATTGAAATGGAAGATTCAAATGATATTGATGTTGAAGTAGAAGAGTCTGTTATGGATATAGACAGCTGTGACAAGAACAATCCTTTAGCTGTAGTTGAATACATTGATGATATATATTGCTTCTTCAAGAAAAATGAGGTAACTTTTAGTGTTTAGTTTCTGTATCAATATGATCAAATTTGGTTTCAAGATTGAAACTTTTTCAATTATATTGCAGTGTCGTAGCTGCGTACCGCCTAATTACATGGAGAATCAACAAGACATTAACGAGAGGATGAGAGGAATCCTTATTGATTGGTTGATTGAGGTATAGATACACACAGGCAAAAAAACAGAACATTGCTCTGTTTTTTTTTTTGTTGTCTTAGTTTAAAGCTTACTGTGAAAATTTGTTGCAGGTACATTACAAGTTTGAGCTGATGGAGGAGACGCTTTACCTCACAATCAATCTCATCGATAGATTTCTTGCCGTTCATCATCATATAGCGAGGAAAAAGCTTCAGCTTGTGGGTGTAACAGCTATGTTGCTTGCTTGCAAATACGAAGAAGTTTCAGTTCCAGTTGTTGATGATCTTATCCTGATCTCTGACAAGGCTTACACTAGGACAGAGATTCTTGATATGGTAAAATCTTACAATAGATGATATAGTCCCGATAATAACCGTGCTTCTCTCTGCTTTATATGTAGATGATCATTATGGTGTCTTGCAGGAGAAGTTAATGGCGAATACCTTGCAATTCAATTTCTGTCTTCCAACTCCATATGTGTTCATGAGACGGTTTCTCAAAGCTGCACAATCTGACAAAAAGGTTTGTGTAGTAACTTTGATGATAATCTTCTCTCTTATGTTTATATATTAAGAATCAAAACATGATTATAAGGTGTGGTCTTTCAGCTTGAGCTTCTATCATTCTTCATCATCGAGCTTTGTCTAGTGGAGTACGAGATGCTTCAGTACACTCCTTCTCAGTTGGCTGCATCGGCGATCTACACAGCTCAGAGCACACTTAAAGGATTCGAGGATTGGAGCAAAACCAGTGAGTTCCACTCAGGCTACACCGAAAAAACTCTTCTGTAAGAAAACCAAAGCTAAAAAAAAAAAAAAAAAAATTAAAAAAAGAAAACCAAAGCTTTAGTATTATAATCTGATTTGAATTCATCACAGGCCTCTCGAGGTTCTGAAAATGTTTTGGTTTTGATGATCAATCTCTCACAGGGAATGTTCGAGAAAGATGGTTGGTTTGCATCACAAGGCAGGGACAGGGAAGTTAACAGGTGTTCACAGGAAATACAACACATCCAAATTTGGTTATGCTGCAAGAATTGAACCAGCTGGGTTTCTTCTGCTGTGAACGAACCAACGGTTAAAATTAGTTCACACGGAATCTATAAATGACTTGACCAAAGTTCATCACTGAAGAGAGAGCAACATAAGTTGCATATATGGTAGAAATTTCTGAACACGTACGTATCTCTGTGTGGGTTCACTTGTCTGTGTGGATGGTTTAATCTTTTCATTTTCGTTGCTAAGAGAATAATAGAAAGCGTTTTCGCTCTTAACTCTGCTTTTTAGGGTTCTTGATTTGAACATATTTTTCCACTCTTCTTTCCAAATTCCAAGTCTGCAGCATCTTTTATCACTCACAATCACGTTCACAACACTTGTGGCGAAAATAGATAAGGCTTTGTTTGGTTTAGTGGTCATCAAGGTTGTTGATGGTGGGTTTTGGGCTCGGGCCCAAACCCTTTAACGGGCCTAAACCCTTCAACGGGCCCATGCTTCCCTGTGGCCTAGCAGAAGCCAAGGGAAGGCCCAGACCCAATTTTCCACCGACCAAAGGGCAGAAAGGACATTTCGCACGAACAGTGTACCCTACTTCCGCACCGTATAAATGGCAAAAAAGAATGATTGTACAGGGATCCCGAAATAACCGCTTTTACAGAGAATATCATACAACCGTCAGAGCACTTTGCGGCTCTGCTCGTACTCTAAGTTTTTAGCTCGTCTATTTTTGTAATTGTCGGCTCGTTCTTTAAATAAGAGATTTTTCTTTCACCCTTAAGACTCCGAATACGTACTTGTTTGATTTTGAGGATCAACAAAGGTCGAGCAATTAGTAATAGTCACAAAAGAACATGTTATATTAATCTCATTCCCACAGTTGGTATGTGAATTATTCTACCATAAAAACTCTCCAGTTTAGGTGGACAGTGATACTAGTTACCGACGTTAGAGCCTAGAACAATGAAAACTCTCTTTCTAGATTGTTAACGAGTTTGCCATTTGATCTACCGACATCGTACAGAGCAATGGTTTTTTGTGTGGAAAAATCTTTTAGAATGACTTTGATGTATCTACTAGTGTCCATTGACGTTGACGTTGACGTTGACTTTATACTAGTTTATAAGATGTACCTCTTTCACAGAAATTTAAACTAAAGAAAAGAGAGAGAAAAATGAATAAAAGAGAATGTGGTAGTGGTAATATTGCTAAATTGTGTATTTGCTTATCAATAATGTTGCTGCTTTTATCTTCATCCCCTGAGAACTCGTTCGTCTCAGCTCTCCCAACTGGTGAGTCAACTTGTGTCGCTCGTTGTTTTACATTTTTTAATATAATCAATAGGCTAAATGGTACGATAATATTCATTACAAGAAAACAAGACCCTTTAGGCTTAGTATTATTTTCGTAGAAGATTAATTAAAAAAGCTTTTGGATTATATCCTTTTTATGTTTGTAAGTTCCCCTTTGCCTAAAACTAACACCATATAATATCGAATCAGTTGAAAGAGAACAAGTCTTTGGCAAGTTGTTAATTTTTTGTCGAAACAAGAACTAATATGCAAACAGATAAACATTGTGCAGGGGAGAAAACAGAGGGAGGAAGAAGAAGTGGAGTGAGAATGATGATGGATGCAAAACGGGTTGCTTATGTATACAGAAGCCGCTCGGGCCATGGTCCAGTCATGGTGGCCGAAACTAAACCATGAAATCGCGGTTGCCACATTTTACCACTATCTATGTCAAATGTTTTACTTCCTACAACTCGTGTCTTCTCCGTTTGATCCGACCATCTTTATCCGACTAATAAATGAATAAAAACGACCGCTTTTAGAAATTCATCATTTATGATATTCCGATTTTTAACCAAATTTCCACCTCCAAGACTAAAAAGACGAATCATTATAGAAATTTGAATCGTGCTCTGTTCTACATAAGATGTGGGAAGTCTCTCAATGACCACGTGAACAAAACATGTCAATGTTTCAAACATGTTAGTAACCCAAAACACAGAACTAGTCCCTCTTTCTCTCTTCCCTCCCTGTCTTCTTGTTAGAGATTTTACTTACTGTGTACCTTAAATGCATAAGTGACAAGCTGAAGTTGGCGGATTCTCATGGATACTGCAGAGATTGTCTCAAGAGTCGAAGCTACATTAGGAGGGTTAACTAAACTACCTCCTCACAGGTGGCACGGCTCCCCTTCCTCCTGTTCCACGTCCAGTACCTTGACCCTTTATAACAACATCAAAGTTCAATTAGATGCCTTAAATTTCCAAACATTTTCTTCTTGACCTGTAAATCAGAAACATAAAGGACTTAGGCGAAGGTGAACTTACTTTGGCTCGCATTGCAGCGCCTCTTCCTCTGCCTACACCTAGTGAAGAGCTTTTTCCCTGCAATGATCAAGTAAGCAAGATGTTATTAGCTTCCATGTTTATAAAGCATAGATGGGTTTGATATTCTCCATCACGTTCAAGAAGTATACCTTGCCCCTAACATCCTTGAACATTGGAGCATTCTTTAGCATGTCTGGTATGACTATAAACCTGTCAAGATTTTACAAAATGTCACATATCAGTCAGCTAAGTTGAAAACAAAAGTAAATAAATAGGAAAGAAGCATAAGTCAAAAGGAGTTTATATAGCACCTGACTAAGCTGCCTCGAATGAAGACATGCTCAAGCTGTGATACCTTACCATCCTGTTCCATAAAGAGCCCAAACGTAAGTTCAGTAACAATCATGAATAGAAGATAGTAAGTTGTACTCAAAATGTACAAATGTGTCAGAGTATATATATATACAGTAACACTTAAAGATTAAACATATGGTCTTGTAGTTTATAAATAGGAAACTCGTACCAGTTCATTCCACAAATTTACAAGTTCTACTAAAGCCATATCACTGGTGAATTGTAAGGAAAACAAGAAATCTGTCTTTAGGCCCATCATGATTCAACATAGTAACAACTTAAGCACGACCTTTATAATCTTCCTTGTCTACTAGTAGCATATACAGGAACTAAACCCCAGTCACTACTAGGATCACAATTTAAGTGTTTTTACTCGCAAGAATTTCACAAGGATTGTCAATTTTCCTCAAAGATAGAACTACTCTTAACAATCCCCAAAAATAGAACCTTTCACGAGGATTTAACCCAACCTAAGCCGCTAAATTTTAGAGTACATTCTCAATTCGTGCCTATTCTAGGGTTTTCAAAGCTCCTACATCGGCTATGGACAAGAAACGAAGCCCTAGTAAAACGTTACCTTGGCTTTATAGGTGATGTTCTCGAGCTGACAGTTCCAATTATCCTCACACTCGATCATGCTTCCTCTGTACAGCTCACCGCTCTTCATCTCCACCGACACAATATGACCGGACGATTCGTGAAGAAGCTTCACCGGAATCCCCAAACTCCGACTCATCTTCGATTCACTAAACCCTAATTGAACCTTCCCTTTTCCTTTTTTTTTTTTTTGCAGCGAAAAAAGCGTTTCCAGTTGTAAATTACACTCTTAGGGCTATTTATTTAGGATTTGGGTCGGCCCATTAGTTTATTAGGCCCATTAATTTACTAGGCCCGTTATTTGAATGTTGGTGTCTAGACCTGAGTTCGGGTTTTCGGGTCGGGTCGGGTCGGTTTGTTCGGGTTTCGGGTTAATTGTGAAATTTTAAATATTGCCGAAGATAACCAAATTTGATTTCGGTTCGGTCGGTTCGGAAACCGGTTATTTCGGTTTTTCAAAATTTAACCGATTTAAACCGAAATACATGTGTATGCAACCAAAAATCATCATTTCTACTTATATCTACCTGCTATTATCATCAATTCATCAATATGCAATCAAACAAACAAAAATCATAAGAAATATAATATCATCATTCATCACCATTGATCAAACAACATCCAAAAGGCATTACCAATAGTTCAAAAGTAAACAAACAACATTCATATTTCATAAGTTCAAAAGACATAATATCAGAATAGAGAGTTAAGAGTTAAAGAGAGAGAGAGAGAGAGAGAGAGAGAGAGAGAGAGAGAGAGAGAGAGAGAGAGAGAGAGAGAGAGAGAGAGAAGTTTGGGTACACATGGTGATGGTCCAAAAAGACAGAGCCCTTCAAGTGATCACGGCGGCAAGTTTGCATCATCAGCCACTGTTTTGAATCCTGCAACTGAAAATAATGAAATAAGTCAATAAGATATGAAGTAAAATTAGTAAATCATAGAAAGACTATAAGAAACAAGAAATTTGAGTACCCAAGGACTCATGGAAATCCAATTCTTCTAGCATTTGAACCAAATTTGCAAGCTTCTCTTGATGAATGGTATTCCTCAACCATTGTTGTGTGCAAATGAGAGATTCAACCATGTGAGGGGATAGACAACTCCGGAAAGGATCCAAAATCCTTCCACTTGTACTGAATGCCGACTCTGAAGCCACAGAAGAAACTTGAATGGCAAGGACATCTTTCACAAACTCTGACAAGACTGGAAACTTATGGCTGTTGCGTCTCCACCATGATAAGACATCATAGTCCATACCCAATCTGTTTTTTTGCCTTGGCACAGCCTTTTCCAACAAGTAAATGTCAAGCTCACTGGTGGCTATATCATTCACTGTCTCTGTAGCCAGTTCATCATACAATGAATCCCTACTTTCTAATTCATCATCATCCTCAAAAAGCGGTGCCAAATCATCAACTTCTCCACTCTTGTTTCCTGTACTTTCAGCTTGAGAGTTGTTACATAATCTCTGCACATACTCTTCAAACAAGTTCTTCATCAGCTTCTTAATGGAGCTTTTCAGATGGTCACTTTCCAAACTATCCTTCCCATAAAGCTTGTCAAAGCAGATATTAGCAAATTGCATCTTGTTCCTAGGATCAAACACACTAGCACTGATCACTAGTGGATTCATATTGATCAGTCCATCCCAATACTTCTCAAGTTTGGCCCTTATATCCATTGCTTCAAGCCGCAACTCTTGATCATCATTGATGCTCAAATTAATCAAACTTCTTTCAATAAGCACTATCTCATGGTAACAGATTGTAGAAGTAACTGTCTTAGTGGCTGAAAAAGCCAAGGTGCAGTCGAAAAAGATCTTTAAGAACTTCACTAACCTTTGCACATCATCCCAGCCTTTTGAAGTAGGAGGTCCAACCCTCTTCTTTGCACCCTCTGGTCCACTCTCTCCATTCTCTTCTTCTGATTCCTGGAAGTAGTCATTATAGAGCTTGTCTTCTGCGAGTAACTTCTCAAATGCAACTCTAAATTTCAAAGCATTTGTTAGCATGAGATATGTGCTGTTCCACCTTGTCACACAGTCTAAACAAGAGCTTCCTCTACCACACTTACCTGTCTCAACCCTCAACTTAAATGATTTCAACCTATCACCTGATGATCTTACATACCTAATTGCATTCCTAATGGCTACAATGCTTTCATTTACCTTTGCTAGGCCATCTCTGACTATCAAGTTCAGTATATGTGCACAGCAACGCATATGGATTAATGAACCGTCTCTAACTAATGCATTAGGCCCCATCGACCTACAAGCATCTGTGAACAACCTAATTGCTTTGTCATTCCCTTTAGCATTATCTACTGTGATAGTGAATACCTTTTTAAATCCCCATTCCTCTAGACATGCTCTAAGATGATCAGCAATGGTGTCTCCTTTATGATCTGTCACAGGCTTGAACCAGATAATCCTTTTCTGCAAATCCCAGCCCTTGTCAATCCAATGAGCAGTGATCACCATGTAGCTGCAAGCAGTTGTAGGAGCAACCCAAATATCAGTCGTCAAAGACACTCTCTGCTGTTCACAGCTAAACAGACTCTTCAATTTAGCTGTTTCACTAAGAAACATCTTAAAGACGTCTTCAGTTGCTGTCCTCCTACAGTGAACCGTGTACAATGGAAGCATATTTGCACAGAATCTCTTAAATCCTTCAGACTCCACAAATGCAAATGGTAACTCACACAAAACAAGCAACTCATTCACTGACCTCCTAAAAAGCGCTTTATCATAAGGAACTGTAGTGATTGCACCCCTCATATCACCAGCCAACACCTTCTGAGTACCAAGATCTTGATGTGCCTTGTAAAACTTGCATCTTAGCAGATGACTCTTCATGGAACTTGTCCCATGTAACTTAGTATCACATCCAATCTGTTGGGAACAATACCGACACCTAGCTACACCTACAAGATCTTCCTTCTCAATATAATGCTGCCAAACTTCAGCTCTATGCGCTTGCTTTTTCTTTGCTTTCTTCGGCTTTGGAACATCACTGCTTGATCGCTCTGTCGTGGGTCTTCTTCTCCTTCCCGCAGAAGATTCTGTAGTACCATCACCATCAGCTTCCTCACCCAAAAAAGCTTCGTTGTTGTCTTCAGTTTCCGATATCTACATAGAAGAGAGATTATAAGGAATTAAGGTTTCCGGTTTCAGTCTTTCAGTTTCAGACAAGCAGAATACCTAGACAGACACAACCGGAAATGATAAATTGAGCAATAACATCGATTCGTAAAAGCCCCAAACCCAAAGAACAAAACCCTAAATCCCAAATCGAAATCAACACTTAAACAGAGAGAGTAGAGGATTTCTAACTCACCTTATACCAAATCGGAGGACAAACAAGGAAGAATGACTGATAATTTGACGAGGAAGACGAGATTGAGGCGTCGCCAGTCGCAAATCGAGAGTGAGGCTCGAGGAAGTGAAAGAAATGAAATGAGATTAGGGTAAAAAAAAATTTGGCTTTTATATTTAGGTTTCATTTTCGGTAATCGTCGGTAACCGATCGGAATACCCGAACCGAACCGACCGAATAGAAAACCGAAGTCCTAATTTCATCTATTCCGATCGGTATATCTCCCACACCCGAAGCATACCGAATTGCGTTTTTTCGGGTTAGGTCGGGTCGGAAAGTTCGGGTCGGGTTTTTATCCCATGCCTATTGGTGTCCCTTTGTTTTGGATTAGTACAAAAAAAGGATTAGTACAAGAGATTTGTTTGGTAATTAAAGCTCCTTAAAACTTGTGACAACTCAGATTCTCTAAACAGATGTGGCAATGTAACCAAGCTTCTTCACAGATTCTGATTTAGTAGCCAAATTTGGCTTCTTGTGGTCATAATTAATCAAAGATTTCATATTAATTGTTGGAGCGTTACACAAAATAGTTTGCCTATAAATACAATAAGCTAATCCTTTTTTATGCTTTTAGTAGCTCAATAACCATAGAGAAAAGATGGAAGGAACAATTAGGTGCTCGGCGAATTACGTCCCGCTTACTCCGATCAGCTTCCTCGAGAGAGCCGCCGTCGCCTTTGGCCCCAGAACCTCCGTCGTGTATGGTGATATTCAGTACACTTGGCGACAAACACGTGACCGTTGCGTCCGCCTTGCCTCTGCTCTCTCCGACCTCGGTCTCTCCCGCCACGACGTTGTAAGTGGTTCAACGACTTTTATATATTGCCATATTGGTCATATATACTTTTTTCTTTTATTTAAACAATTTCTTTTATCAGGTGGCTGCTTTAGCGCCAAATGTTCCTGCGTTATGTGAGCTTTATTTTGGAGCTCCGATGGCTGGATCAGTACTTTGCGTGTTGAACACGACCTTCAATTCTCAGATGCTTGCGATGGCGCTGGAGAAAACGAAGCCAAAAGTCTTCTTCGTTGACTCTGAGTTCCTCTCCGTCGCTGAAGAATCTCTCAGTCTCCTCTCAAACATCGAAGAACAACCTCTCATCATCACAATCACAGAAAATCAAACCGAGAAATCAAAATATGAAGAATACGAGGATTTTCTCTCTTCCGGAAACCCTAATTTCATACCCCTACGACCGGTTGACGAATGCGATCCAATCGCCCTCAACTTCACATCCGGAACCACATCCACGCCCAAATGTGTCGTCTATAGTCACCGCGGTGCGTATCTGAACGCAACTGCTACTGGTGTTATGAATGAGATGAAACCAATGCCGGTTTATCTCTGGACAGTTCCTATGTACCATTGTAGCGGGTGGAGCTCTGTTTGGACAGTTGCGGCTTTTGGAGGAGTCAACGTCTGTCTCAGGGAAGTCAACGACAGAGTTATATTTGATAGTATCGTGAAGCACAAGGTAACTAACTTTGGTGGCTCGCCTCCGGTTCTCAACATGATTGCCAATGCACCAGACTCGGTCAAGAAGTCGTTCCCATGGACCGTACAGGTTATGAGCGGAGGATCCTCGCCTCCTGAGGTAAAACTAATCACAGAGTTTTGAATTACATGTTTGTTCAATCCGGCTTATTCGGTTTGAACTTCCATATTTTAGGTTATATATAATGCCTTGCTTTATACGTTAGCTCCGTCACAGTAGATTAATATTAATATTTTACATAGAATCATAGTATAAGATATTAATTTATTTGGACAGGTCATGTTAAGACTCAAGAAGCTAGGATTCAAAGTGATGATGGCTTATGGATGCACGGAGGTGTATGGACTAGGAACAGCTTGTTTGTGGATGCCCGAGTGGGAGAATCTACCTGAAGAAGAGAGTTCAAGGCTCAAGGCAAGAGATGGTCTCAACCATTTCGCCAAGGAAGCTGTCGATGTGTTGGACCCAACCACCATGAAATCGGTTCCACACGACGGCAAGACTATCGGGGTGATTATTCTCCGGGGGAATACCGTCATGAGCGGTTACTTCAAGGACAAGGAAGCCACTGAAGCAGCTTTTCGAGGTGGATGGTTCTGGAGTCGCGACATGGGAGTTATAGATCCTGATGGGTAAGTAAATTAATAAATCATCGATAACTTTGAATATTACTTTGAATATTACTAATGATTATGATGTTTCCACATCCAAAGCTACATACAATATAAAGATAGGTCACAAGATGTTATAACATGCGGAGGAGAAATTATGGGGTCAAAAGAGATAGAAGGGATTCTCTATAGTCACCCGGCGGTTTATGATGCAGCGGTAGTTGGTCGACCGGACGAAGCTTTAGGAGAATCGATGTGTGCATTCGTGAAGCTCATAGAAGGAGCTGAAGCGAAAGAGGAAGAGATCATTGAGTTCTGTGAGAGAAAGATTGGGATCAAGAACATGAAGATGGTTCCAAAGACAGTAGTCTTCTCGGATGTTCCTAAGATTCACACTGGGAAGATTCGGAAGAATGTTCTGAGAGAGATGGCCAAGAACATGGGTTATGTTCCAGTGAAAGTTGTGGAGCAAATGAAATGATAATTTATCAATTCAACTAATAAAATAAAATAAAAAGTGTAAACTTTTATATGTTCAGATGTTCTATGTATAAAAAATAATGAAGTCTCATTTCTAGTAGACACAAAATATCAGTAGATGAGAATGGGTATGACTCCGCATGTATTATTCTCTTGATATTAGTATTATGTAGTTTCATTGTTTAAGCACACTGATGGTATTTGATATTTTTGTATTAGGTGATCACTAATATTTTTCTACATGAGTTGGTTGATTGAAATGTTTTTTGTTTTTGATCTACTTTTTTTTGGCAGTATGCAGTTATATGCACTATGCAGGACTATATATATATATATATAGTAATGGTAAAAACCAGGGAATATCTTTCACAAGTTTTCACCTTAAATCAATTCATTTTGATAGAATTATGAGATTAATCTTTCTCTCACAGAACTCAATGATCTCTTCAAAAATATCAAACTAAACTTTTTCAAAAAAAAAAAAAAAAAAAAAGATATCAAACTAAACCAGTCCAGATCAAATCAAACCGAAGAGAAATTGGAATGCCCAATCAGAAATGCATAAATGGGCCAAATGTGAAGAACACGGCCCATTAATTGTTTTTCCATCAGACTGATAAACCTGAAATGTTTTCTTTTCGGCAAGCGTCTCTTCTCTTACATGGTCGCATCTCTTTGTGTAGATTGCTAGAACCAGATACACAATTGAAACGAGTTTCGATCAATGGAAATGTTCGCTTACTGATTTAGGGTTTAGATTTTAGTTTTGTGAAGTAAGTTTTCTCCTTTTCGTAAATTGCTAATCTCGAAGAAGCTCAGAATCGAGCCTGAAAAGCTATGTACAGAGCTCTGTAAGTTATTTTGGAAAAATTGGTTTTTTTTTTTTTTTTTTTTTTTTTTTTGTGTTCAACAAATGTTCATTGACTTTGCTTCGTGTTTGAGCAATGAAGGTGGCTTTCTCCATTGCGATTTATTGTGAGCTCGTCGTCGTCAAAGTTAACGCCTTACGTATCTCGGGTTAGTTATCAGTTCCCTGTGTTTCCTCAATTAAATTTGAAAACTTTTCAATTTGATTAAATGGGTATTTGATTATAGGGACGAGGACTAAGTGGAATCGATAATGGGGCTGGTTGTTCTTGTTCTCGTAGTGTCACAACATTGATTGGTATGGTCTGTTTGTCTCTCACTATCTATTTCATCTTACTTGGATTATTAAAGACGAGATTTTGTGACTTGAGAGTGCTTGCTTTCATATGCAGGTAATGAATTCATCCGATGCCAAGATGAGTCAAAAATCTTACAGGTGCAGATTGTTGATGCACTTCGTTCCGGAGAGAGGCCTGGAGCTTCAGCTCTGCTTTTTCAGTTTATACAGGGGAATTATTCACTTAGTGCTCATGATTTTCATGATATTCTACATTATTGTGCTCGATCACCGGATCCTGTGGTAAGTTTGATATATGACAAAATCTCCCTTTGGATTTGTTTAATCTTTGTTTATCTTTCACAAGTTATATTTCAATGAAGTTTTGGTAGGGCTGAGATGTAAATCTGTAATTAATTTCTCATAATACAGTACTCTTGTTGTCTCTGACCTCAAGCCAGTAAATTGTTCGTGTAGTTTGTCATGGAGACTTACAGTGTAATGTGTAAGAAGGAAATTAGTCTGGACAGCAGATCTTTGTTGTTCATTGTACAATCCCTTTGTAATGGGGGGCACTTGGATAAGGTATAGTTATTCCACTCAAATAACCAGTATATTCTTACATAATGTGACTAAAGGAGATGAGTGAATATTTTTGGGCATATTTGTTCAGGCATCAGAGTTTATTCACGCTGTCGGAGAAGATGATAGTATCTCTCCTATTCTGCCCGTTTATAACTATTTTCTTGGCGCCTGTGCAAAAACGAGAAGTGTATATCATGCTAGTAAATGTTTGGAATTGATGGATCAACGGAGAGTAGGGAAGAATGAAATAACTTATGCAGCACTTCTCAAGGTTTGTTAAGAATAGATCTTATTTCAGTGCCTTTATCTTTTTTCTTTCAAGAGGTGTTATATGCCAACTTCAAAATTTGGAGTGTAGGAGATGTGGACAGGACTTATCATTTTATTTTTTGTCCCCATTTTTGTCTTAGCTTTACTGTCGCTTAAGGACTTCCTTTTGTTCCTTGACATAGAGGTTTCATTTGCATTGATCTTACTTTCTTTGTTATCTGATTAATATTATTTTCAGCTTGCAGTTTTTCAGCGCAATCTATCAGCTGTCAATGATATCTGGAAACACTATGTCAACCACTATAGCCTGGATATACTTCCTCTCAGAAAATTCATATGGTCCTTTACGAGGCTAGGGGATTTGAAATCAGCATATGAATTATTGCAACACATGGTGGATCTAGCTTCAAGAGGAGAGCTCTTTGTTAAATCCAACAGAGGAAAATTGCATTCCACGACACTGGATATTCCTGTACCAGCAAAAGGTGAAACAGGATCAGAGAAAGTTGCTTTTGGAGTAAATGATCACAATGTGGAGTACAATTCGTCTTCCAAAGTGGCTTTGCCGAAAGGTCACAACAAAATCCCTGCAACTAGGGTCCTCAGGTGGTCGTTCAATGATGTGATTCATGCATGTGGACAATCTAAAAACTCTGAGCTAGCGGAGCAGCTAATGCTTCAGGTATCTCCCACTCCTTTCCCATTCATCCATTTCATGTCCTTATCCACTCTCTATGCTCTGCGTGCGATACTGTAGAGTTATGAGAAAAAAAACTCTTCGAAACATTTGTAGGAGACAGTTGCAGCATTAACGAATCTTTAGTGGGAACTTTGATCTTCTGTCTATTACCTTGATTGAAATTCCGAAGCTTTCATGATCATTGATACCAGCTCTTTATCATCCTTGTTGGGCTATAAAAGCTGTTAAATAGCTGTCTGCTTCCCTTGTCTTTTATGATTTTATCTGGTTCGGGTCCTGCTTTGTGGTATTAGGTAAAACCTCATTTCGCTGACTTTCTTCTTATCCCCACTAACAGATGCAAAATATTGGGTTGCTACCATCAAGCCACACATATGATGGTTTCATTAGAGCTGTTGCATTTCCAGGAGGATATGAATATGGCATGACACTGGTAAGAGTTTATATATTGTACAAGTCACCTCTTTCATAATATCTTTCTTTCTGTAGTTTATTTTTTTTTTTCTTATAACGATTTCTCTTTATGTTTCATATCTCTACGCAGTTGAAAGTAATGCAGCAGCAGAATCTGAAACCATATGATTCAACTCTAGCTACGGTGTCAGCCTATTGCAGTAAAGCCTTTCAAGTTGATTTAGCTGAACATCTGCTGGATCAAATATCTGAATGCTCGTACGCATATCCTTTTAATAACCTTCTTGCTGCATATGACTCCTTGGTTAGTTATTTTGATTCTACATATTGAAAGCCAGTTACCGTAGATACCTCTTTTACCTTTCAATGTTTGTGTATTCTGTTACAAGTATTTTTTCCCGAAGCCTCAAGTACATGAGTTTGATCCTAGATGCCATAGAAAGTTCAAAAGACCATACTTGTGACTATGTTGCCACTCTAATCATAGGAGACACTCGGAACAAAGGGTTAATGTTCTGTTCTATTAGTTCTTACTCGAAATATTCGTACAAAAATAATCTGCAGTCTAAGTAGTTGTCATGTTTTATAGGTCTTGTTATTATGTGTCCATATTTAGTACATAATCCTTGAACCTAAACAACTTTGTTCTGTTTATCTATGCATGTCACTGTGAGATTCAGTTTCTTACTATTGCTTTGTAGGATCAACCAGAGCGTGCTGTCCGAGTTTTGGCTAGAATGAAACAGCTAAAACTGCGTCCAGATATGAGGACCTATGAACTGCTCTTTTCCTTATTTGGTAATGTAAATGCACCATATGAAGAGGGCAACATGTTGTCCCAAGTAGACTGTTGTAAAAGGATTAATGCTATAGAAATGGACATGGTGAGAAATGGTTTTCAGCACAGTCCTATCTCAAGGCGGAATGTGGTTAGTTTCTGCTCCATATAAATAAATAGGTCTTGACCTGTTTGAAGCAGAGGATAATCAAATATAATATTATTCAGCTAAAAAGCAGCTGGAAAATCCTTTTTAAGACGATACTATCAATCTTTACTTCGTCATTGTGTTTGTATGTGTTATATATCAGAACAATGAACTTATTGTTTACACTTCCTTTTTCTTTCCCCAGCTTAGAGCCCTCGGAGCTGAAGGTATGGTGAATGAGATGATCCGACACCTGCAAAAGGCTGAAAACCTCAATGTTCACAGCAATATGTATCTAGGAACGCCTACATACAACATAGTTCTTCATTCACTTCTTGAGGCAAACGAAGTAAGTTTTGATGGTCTAATTTTTGAAATTTTCATTGGACCAACATCTAAATAGCAATATTGATCGCTGTTCTTAAATTACATGCAGACTGACATGGTGATCAATATATTCAAACGTATGAAATCATGTGGCTGCCCTGCAGACGTTGCTACCTACAATATAATGATTGATTGTTGCAGCATTATTCACTCGTATAAATCAGCTTGTGCCCTAGTTTCCATGATGATCCGTGACGGATTTTCTCCAAAAGCTGTTACGTTTACTGCTCTGATGAAGGTAATAACAGAGTATTTGTTTACAATTTTAAAAGTTTGCTGCCATTTTTTTTCAAGAACTTGCTACAAGTATTCAGTTCAATATGAAAGAATTCTACACAGTACAGACACATTCCAAATTTTCTTGAACCATCGCTCACACTCAGAACGTCCAATTTTTTGGTGGAATCTAGCTGCTTATTGTTGTTCATTTTTTTTCATTACTTAAAGCGGTGTATTTCCTCTTAGATTTTGTTGAATGATGGGAATTTCGAGGAGGCACTCAATCTCTTGGACCAAGCTGCATTGGAAGAGATACATCTTGATGTCTTATCATACAACACCATTTTGCGTAAAGCATTCGAGAAGGTAAAGATATCTGTTGTAAAAACGCTAAAAGTAATGAAAGCGAATAAACTGCATTAGTATACACATTTGTCTGCAGGGAATGATTGATGTGATTGAGTACATAGTGGAGCAAATGCACCGAGAGAAAGTGAATCCAGATCCAACGACATGCCATTATGTTTTCACTTGTTATGTGGAAAAAGGGTATCATGCAACAGCTATAGAAGCTTTGAATGTTCTGAGCTTAAGGATGCTCAACGAAGAAGACAAAGAGAGTCTTCAGGAGAAGAAAATAGAGCTTGAGGAAAATTTCGTCATGAGCGAAGACCCTGAAGCCGAAACAAAGATAATAGAACTGTTCAGGAACTCTGAGGAGCATCTTGCTGCAGCACTTCTAAATCTAAGATGGTGTGCGATGCTCGGGGCCCGGATTATATGGTCGGAAGACCAAAGCCCCTGGGCCAGAGGACTCTCTAACAAGTATGGTTAATATGTAGAATGGGAAGTGTTCATTGTTCGTGAATAAGAGCGGTTTTGGTCTCTTCCTCTTTGCTGTTGATTCTCTGCCATTTCATGGGAGCTGGTGATTCTAGTACAAACTGGTGATTCTAGTTGGTGACGTAACCGTTCTGGAGGTCACCAATCAACCAGATGATCGATACGTTTTGGTGGTTCATTGAGACGATTTGATGAAACGGATCAGCAATACGGTTGAAACACCTAAAAACAAGGCGACATGAGAACGAACCATCAAATGCGATTGAGTTTGTTATAGTTATGTTTTCTGACAATGAATTTAACATAATTTTTTAAAGGTAACAAGTGCAATGCATATGATGATATATTGAAACTTGATAACTTAAAACAAAGAAGAGAATAATTACTGTGAAAACATAAAGGACAGATGGAAACGACAGAAACAAACGTAATAATGTTACAACTTGCTCCTGTTTTTCTCTTTTTTCTTTTGTATCTTACTCATCCAAATACAAAGACATTGTCCATAGATAGAGGACCAATCCTCTTTACTTAGCTGATTTCAAACCATAGAATACCAAACCAGAATTTTGCTAACTATAGTATATCGTACAACAATGCAAAACAAAAAGAAGATACTTTCCTGAACTAATAATATATATAAGAAAAGAAAAAAAAAAAAAAAAAAAAGGAAGAAGAAGATATTTTCTCTTTAAACAAAATGATTTCTGTTTTTCTTTCCCTTAATTACTGAGGTAAAAGATCTTCACTGCCCAAATCGTAGATATAGAATACTAAATAGTAAATAGTAAAATTAGTTACTCACTAATTATATCTTTTACTCACAATTCTCTGCTTCTTTTGTCAACTATTGGGGACATTTTTTTTTGTTTTTTTGGCCGACTTGGGGACATCTGTTTGTGTAGTGAAGATCTATGACTATGAGTGTTATATATGAGTGTATTCCATTGATTCATATAAAATCCCTGATAATCATGCTTTTTCTCAATGAGATTAACTACTAAAGATAGGCAAATATGAATTTAACAGAAACTAACTATAAGTTAATACTCATTTTAAGACTAATAAAATAAATCAATGCTGCCGACTACCGTCTTTTAGATCAATATTTTGATGTTCTTTAAAAAAAAAAAAAATTACCCTTTTATTAAAAAAAAGTATAAAGTAAGCTAATAATTTCATAATTTTAGTCAATTGTCATCAAAATTAACAGATTTTTTAATTAAACAGATGTAATAAGACCGAAAACTATCGTAGCTCTCTCTCTTCTCTATAAGAAAGTGCTCAAAAACAAAAGGAACTCAATTTCTCTCTCTCTCTCTCTCTGATGATTTGAAGAAAAGAGAATAATATTGTTGTTGTTTGTCTCTCGTGATCGAAACAATGCTTTGTGATTCTCAAATACAGTAACATTCTCAACATGTTTTGATTCCAAATATCCAAACTTTCATTCTCTCTCTGTTGCTCTGAGTGGCGAGGTTGTTACACGGCCGCCGCCATGAGTTTCCATCGGCGGCGCTACCCTTACTACAACCGTCTCCGTCGTCTCCTCCCTCTCGTTTTCGCCGTCTTCTTATCTCTCCTCATTCTCTTCGCTTTTCTCTCTTTCCTTGCCCCGTTTCCCGGCGATTCCGATCGCCTTCCTCCACGCGTTCGCTACTCATCCAATGATGCGATCAAAGCTACAGGTTTCCGTATTCCGGTTAGTGGGTTTCATTATTCGTCGCTAAAGTTTGAAACTTTTCCGACCTATTTGATGATTTTACTTTGTGCAAAATGGATTGGATCCATCCATAACAGAGAGCTGGAGGCAGATCAGATCGTGACATCTGGCGTTCACGAAATGCTGAATTCTTTTTTGGATGCAGCAATGCGAGCAGCAAATTCGCAAGTGCGTAAGACACTTTCATCAAATTCCATTAGTTAGTAACATTGATCTCACGAAAAGTATGGAACTTTCGATTAGTTGGTGGAAACAAGGCATTGATTATAATCAAGTCACACTAAATCCGATTACGTGTTTGTAGATGCGAAAGCTGTGACGAGAAATGATCGATACTTGGTTATAGCTACTAGTGGTGGTTTGAACCAACAACGAACTGGAGTGAGTTTCTTGACTTCTCTTGTTAATACCTATCTCCATGGATTATCAAAATACAAGCTTTTGTTTACTCTTAATCAGCTAATGGATCTAGCAACAGTGTAGTTATATGGCAATTTGTATTAAGTTTATTATGGAATTTTAAAATGCATTCTTCTACAGATTGTAGATGCAGTTGTTGCGGCAAGAATTCTAAATGCTACTCTTGTTGTTCCCAAGTTAGACCAGAAGTCTTACTGGAAGGATGCCAGGTTTGAGACAGAATAAACTTTTTCTTATAACAAATGTTATGCATCGTAGTAACTTTGTGAGTTTTGTGCAGTGACTTCTCGCATATTTTCGATGTTGATTGGTTTATATCATTTCTGTCTGACGACGTCAAAATTATAAAGCAACTTCCACTGAAAGGAGGCCGAACATGGAGTACAAGTAGAATGCGTGTACCACGGAAATGTAACGAGAGATGCTATATTAACCGTGTTTTACCTGTTCTTCTCAAAAGGCATGTAAGTTTCCTTCTTTCGCTGAAACTTTTACTTATTGTATTTAAAATATGTCTAAGCAAATTGTCTGTTGTCTTACTCCTCTATCGACTATTTGCTTTGGGAGTTCCAAGTAATTTTCTTCACAAGTCTTACCATTTAATTGTTTTCACAGTTTTTGGTACTATTCTTTTGTTTGGCATACCCATTTTGTTGATTGCTAGCATATTGATGTTTGTTTCAAAACATAGAACTTGAAGCATTTTTACCCACGGAGAAGCAGTTGTCTTTTGGATTAAGCATCTCGCTATAGGCTTATATCACTTTTTTCTGTATTATGCTTCAGGCAGTTCAACTGAACAAATTTGATTATAGACTTTCAAACAAGTTGAGCGATGACTTGCAAAAGCTAAGATGTAGGGTAAATTACCATGCTCTAAAGTTCACTGATCCTATACTTACAATGGGTAATGAATTGGTCCGGCGCATGCGATTGAGGAGCAAACACTTCATTGCTTTACATCTAAGGTAGCACCACCACACACCTTTAAATCCTAATATTTCTTCTTTTTTCACTTCATCACTGAATAAGGGCATTGTTCTGGGGAGAATTAATATGTAGCACAACTGAAACCTTTTAGCATCCCCTCATAGGTTGGCTTAGTTGGTAATTCAACCATCCTGTGGTCATTGCTCTTATCTTTTTGTTTTGGTAAACCTCAGTATTCTTATCTAATAGAGGAGATTGCATCGTGAAACGAGTGGAATCAAATGCATAAACATGTGTATCCTCGAGTTCATCTAGTAACCCCTTCACATTTGATATTCTAGTCAACAAGGAATCTTTATGATATTCTACATATACATCTTGAAGGTATAAATACTAGCGTGTTTGACGCAAGCGATACTGAATTTGTTGCAGGTTTGAACCTGATATGCTTGCATTCTCGGGATGCTATTATGGTGGTGGTGATAAGGAAAGGAGAGAACTTGCAGCAATTAGAAGGAGATGGAAAACATTACATGTAATGCCTATTCTGTAATGTTTAAGAAATTACATGCTATTCATTGTACACTATATTAACAAGCTACTAATGACTAATATTGCAATTTTATTGCAGATTAACAACCCAGAGAAGCAAAGGCGACAAGGAAGATGTCCACTCACTCCAGAAGAAGTCGGGCTGATGCTTAGAGCTTTGGGATATGGCAGTGATGTTCATATATATGTCGCGTCTGGTGAAGTATATGGAGGAGAAGAATCATTGGCTCCTTTGAAAGCACTCTTTCCACACTTCTATTCAAAAGACACTATAGCTACAAAGGAAGAGTTAGAACCTTTTTCTTCGTACTCTTCTAGAATGGCTGCACTCGACTTCCTTGTTTGTGATGAAAGCGACGTATTTGTAACCAACAACAATGGCAATATGGCAAAAATATTGGCTGGGAGGAGGTACTGAAGCATCTTCTTCTTCTTCTTCATATTTCGGAATGCAAAGTTTTAAGCATTTTTCAGTTTGTTTATTTAATGGAATTGCAAAGGTTTAGTCTTTTGGTTGTATGAAATTTGCAGGAGATACTTAGGACATAAACCCACTATTAGGCCGAATGCAAAAAAGCTTTACAGATTATTCATGAACAAAGAGAACACGACGTGGGAGGAGTTTTCATCTAGAGTCCGTTCGTTTCAGAGAGGGTTCATGGGAGAGCCAAAGGAAGTAAGAGCCGGTAGAGGTGAATTTCATGAGAACCCATCGACGTGCATATGCGAAGATACAGAGGCTAAGGCAAAGGCACAAATGGAATCTAGAAAACTTGGAAAGAAAAACAAATCCACAAATAAAGACGCAGCAGTAACAGTAACCAATGATGATCAAACGGAAGAGGATGAGCCAGATTGGTCGGAGCCAGACTATGAGGAAGAACAGAGTGATCTTAAGGACAGAGGATTATACAACGGGACAAGTCTAGATTACGATGATCCATCTACCTCTGACGAGCCTGAGCTTGAAGAAATGCTATCAGATTAGTTAGATTCGCATCAGTGAGCTTCACATCATTACACTGAATCTATCCTCTGCTTGGGCACTTCATAGTGAGTTTTCCAACCTTGGGGCTAAGCCTTGTTGTCACCATTTTGCATGTAATGTCTCATGTACATAGAACCGCCCGATAGAGCATTGTTTTGTTTATCAGGATCTGAGGACAGATCAATATTTTCAGTCATATTTTAGTTTTCGGAATTATGGCTTTACCAGAGTAGCAGCTAGAAAAAGGGAAAACAAGTAGGCATATGTAGCATTATGACATACTGGTGATTACTTGATCCGGATATTTTCTTTATTATAAACTGAATTATATCAGGTTCATTGACTTTGTGAGTATTTTCACGAGGTTTGTTTTTACATCTTTGTGACTTGTGCTGAGAAAGATAGTGTGATGAACAAAGACACGAGTAAAAGTTCAACAATTGTAGAAGAATAGTTTTGGTGTTGTGATTATTATCAAAACGTTCAAAATTTGTATAAAATGAGAGCATATGACAATGCAGCTTTTCCTTTGAAGCCTTCTTCGATTGGGCGAATGAACCTATCTTCTTGGTAGGAAAGGCTTGACGGATTCGATCACAACCTAACATAAAACACCAAAATTATGGGATGAACTCTGCAAACTGCTTTGAGATTTTAGAATTGGCGCAGTAAATCGTTTATTACTTAGTTCTCCATAGTTCTTTAGGTTGTTGTTACAAGCAAAGTTACATACCCTCCCGTCATATGACAATGATGCAAAAATCCAAGGCTCACGCAAGCTCCAAGCAAGGCCTGTGACATCAATTATTTTAGTAACTTCATGCAGGTT